GACGATGCCGCTTCTAGATTTTACACGATCAACGACTTTACGTGATTCTTCCCTACTTCGTTGTTGTTGACGATGGATGATGATGCTCGATGCTACTCATGAATCACTACGAATTACGAATACCTGATCTCGATTCTTTGGCTCCTTCGGAATGGGTGGAAGGGCTCCTTCGGAATGGGTGGAAGGGCTCCTTCGGAATGGGTGGAAGGGCTTCTTCAGAATGGGCGCTTCCGTCGTAACGTTCTAGCGTACCTACTCGGCACACGAGATCGTGATCTTTTGGTGCTCTCCGTCTCCGAGATGATTTCAAGCTGCTTCTAACCTATGCCTGATCAACTTTTAGTGGAGTTTATCGGAGTGGAAGATTGTTTTCAGGCTCCTCCGGAACGGGTGGAAGGCAAGACGGCTTTCTGGAGCCCTCTTTGTGGGTGGGGAATCATTTTCAAGGATAGATTTTTCAGGTATCCACAGAGCAGGGGAAAATCTTTCTCAAGTTATTTCTTCTTCTTCTATTCTTGATTAGGAGGCCGACGAGGACAATAATCAAAAACGGGAGGCCAGGAGGAGAGTAGGGTAGAAGTGAAGAATGGAAGATACATATATGGGGAACGAGAGGAATGAGAAATATTAGGAGATCCGAGAGCAGAGGAAGAACGGGAAAGGAGGACCAGAGAGCTTAAGAAGAGGCACGGGAAAAAGTACCAACGAGGTAAAAAAGATAAAGGAGAGAAAAATGACAGAGACGGGAAAATAGCAGAGATCCAGGGAAAGGGAGCGGGAACAGGTATCGGAAAATGATTGGAATGTTTGAGACAGGGGGAGATGAGAACGGGAAAAGAGGAGGCAAACGGTTACAATAGCATAAGAAACGGGAGCAGAGGAGAAGATTAGGGAGTGGATAGGAAATTGGAGAGATATGGGAAATGAGGAAAGGGTGTAAGGGAAGGATGGGGCCATCTGAGAGTAGACGAGTAGCGGGGCGAATACGCGGAAGGACGCGGGAAACAGGGGAAAAGTAAGAAATGATAGAAACGGACAAAGTGTTGGGGAGCACAGAGTGACTCGGAAAAGAATCACACGACAGAGGGGAGAGGAGGTTAACAAGAAAGAAGAGGGACTGAGCAGACAATTGGGAGAACTGAGGAGATCCGGGAGGAGAATGGAAACGAGGAAATGAGAGTGATGGGAGCCAAAACCGAGAGCAGTAGAGAAACGGGAAGAGTCGGGGTAGTGGAGAGAAGGGGAAAGCCGGGGGAAAGAAAATGGGGAAATATCTGATCCAGGCGGAGAGAGGGGAGACACGAAGGGAAGAATAACGTGAAAGAAGGAGAGATCGAAGTGTAAGGGGGGGAACGGGAAGACGAGAACATCGGGGGCTGGCGAATACACGGTGGAGCGAGGAAAGTAAGGAGGAGCAGGGGAGGACACAGGGAAGGGGAGGAAGATGTGAAAAAGTCAAGGGTTAGTGAAGGAAGAGAACGAATTCTGAAGAGCAAACGAGAGGGAACCTGCAGGGCGACCGGGAGACGAATAGTAGAGGGAATGTGTGGAGCAGCGGGAAAAAAACAGAAATCGTGACCGCAAAATTAGGCACGGGTAAAGATCAGAGGTTCTGAAGCAGAGAGAAGGAACTCGGATACTAAGGGACAAGAATCGAGGGAGAGGAAATTCTATTGAAGCGAAGAGACGAGCTGGGAATGGCCAGGTCTCGATAACGCCACTGATTTGGGAGTTTTGTTCGTCACGATCTCAAAATTAACATTCATATAAATACAATGTAAGCTGCAGCGCAGCGCGGCCGGGCACGCTAGTAAAGAGATATAATCTAACTGACTCATTTCTGAAGTCGGGAGAGACATACAAGAATTGTCACAGTTCCCGATTGTCGTCTAGACGGCAGGGAAATCCTTATCGGTTCGCCTTTCGGCTCACGAAGGAGGAGACAATTCAGGCATTGCCGTGAAAGGGAACGCTGACCGTTCCCAGGGATAGGCTCGAACATGAGTTCCTGCCGAGCGGGTGGTCTTTGAGCCGGACTTTGAGCGCTGCATTAGTATCTCAAATCGGAGTGGAAGCTTCCGATAATAGGAGGACGCAACTCGGAGTGGAAGCTCCCGGTGATAGGGGGACGCAACTCGAAATTTGTGATGATTGTCCAGTCTTCTTGGGTACCGCTGCACATATGTAGGGACCTAGGTTCGGCTGAACTTCGCGCAGCCTGCTCAGAGTTTTCTCTTCTTCCATGAAACATTGAGATTCTGTGTTTTTGAAGGCACTGTGAAGGCAGTCGAAACTTCCGCCGTAGGGAAGAAAGGAATGAGGCGATATGTAGCACCAGGCCTCCTCCGGAAAAACAGGAGTAGCCGTGCTCAAATCGAAACGAAATCCCGAAGATGATACTCAACTTATAGCAATAGAGTTCAAAGGACCTGAGCTACCACACCCATCCCCGGGACCCTGGGACAACTCCAACCGCCCTCAGAGTTGCAGGGAAGGTTTGACGGCGGTGTCAAACCGCGATTCATTGAACTGACACGAGGTGCTAGACTCGCTCAGAGCTGTCAGGTGCACTCGAAGCTCAGCCCACGCGGGGGTATCCTCGTCAACCTTGGGAATTGGGCTGAAACCGGATCCACCCCAATGATTTGCGCATAGTCAGCGACAAGAGCTCAAAGGCGTCGAGCCGCTCCGAAGACCCCCGATTCCGAGCCTGACGGAATCGAGC